TATATATATATATATATATATTAACCTAATTTTCATCGTATACGGTAAGAATTACAGGTGCTGCGAAATTTAATGAAATTGGGGATGAATTTTTATGATAACATATTGAAATAATCAAATCAAATACAAAAATACATAGAAATCTAAAATACTAACACACATACAGGTACACACACACATATATATTATATATAACATATGTAGAAGAGTATATGTCGTGGTTCGTTCGCTGACCGTGCACTCGTGCTGGGTTATACACAACGGGTAGTATAATACTGTAGCACTATACTTTGCAGCCATTGTGAAATAACTCGTAAACCTGCAAATTGCCGGCTATTTCGCTCCCATATATACGCACATATACATACACACACCATACCTCTCCTCCCCCTTCCTCCCCCCTCCTCCCCCCTCTCATATTATTCCTCTCTCTTTCTCTCTCTTTCTCCCTCACTTGCGAATATAAGCTCGCTACTATCTTTTCGCGTATTCCTCGATGTTTTCTTCTTAACACGAGAAAGGAAGAAGTAAAAAGAACAGATAGAAATAGTATGAAATAGCATAAGATGTATATGTATATGTATATGTGTGTGTGTGTGTGTGTATGTGAAGATGAGAGAGGAGGGGGGTGGGGAAAGAACCTTGCATGAAACAAATAAAAATACAAAGAATATTGAAGAAAAAAAAAAAAAAACAAAAAAAAAAGGAAAAAATTCTTCTACGTTTATGTTAGAATTCACACGAGTGTGTCGATCTTTGGGTCCACAGTTCAACTCGTTCAAAAACATACACATATACACACGTATATGTATTAATATGCATATGCATTTATTTTTACACATGGGGTGTCGTGTTGTAGTAGTGTATAGAGAAAAACGAGACGTAGATAAATACTTTGAATTGTAGTTCGTTGTCTTAAGAAGTAGGAACATATATATATATATATATCTATAAAATTCATAGTAACTCATGCGCACATTCACATGCACACATTCACATGCACATATTCATACTAACTCATTCACATTTTTATACTTAGGCCACACGTTGCTGTGGTTTTGTTATAAAACGTTGATTTTTAATTGCAATCAAATTAATATTTATTTATAATTTCTGGGAAAAATTCGAATTTGAGTATAAAACAACTTAAAATTTTTAATATATTTAATATATAAATAATAATACATAAATAATACTAAACATTAGAATGGGATACGTAAAATAATAATACTCGAATTAGGTTCTGTTATATGAAAACCTGAAAAAATCGTAAAATAATTGAATTGTAATGCAGCACCATCTATCGAAAATTTACGATACTTAAAGAGCCAAGATAACCTTTAAATAATCGCGATAAAAATTATCCTTAAAAAAAAATGACACAAAATAAAAGAAAATTTCATGAAGATTGAAACTTCATTTAAAAACCAAAAACAATGTTGCATTAAATTTGGATGTATAAAAATAAAATTATATAAATAAATAATAAATAATGAATAAAATATGGTTTGTTAGGAGGATATGATGAGTGAGAGAAAGAGTGTATTGGTCTGCTGGTTGGTTCGAATCCTTAACGTTGAGTTATCATTGTGATTATGCAAATGCATTATCATTATGCAAATGAAGAAGAGTAGTGCGGCATGGTTGCAGAAGAAACGGGCGAGAAACGGGCGAGAAACGGGCGAGAAACTTGGAACGTGATTCGTCGTTGTCCCGGACTCTTGCACTCACTCACTCCTTTCGACGCACTTCATACATGTATGCATGCATATATATATATGTATGTATGTGTTTGTTGTATATCTATGTAATAGTATGAGTAAGAATGGTATGTGTTATAGCTAATCGTTGTTACAAGAATAATTACGTGTGGAAAATAATTTTTCCGCGTTTAGCATGGAAAACTGATGTTAGGAATATTCGTATATAAATTTTATCTATGTCCCCTGTGTGTGTGTGTCTGTGTGTGTGTTTATAAGAATGTATTTTATAAATGTAGATGATGCATTTTTCGTATCGTACGTTTTGCATATATGTATATATGTATAGTTGAATATTTGACATTCGACGCGTTAAAATATATTTGACCGTATATCAATTTAAGTTTGTAATTTTGTCTTCTTTTTCTTTTTTTATTTTTTTTTTCTTCTTTTCTTTTCTTTTTCTATTTCTTTTAAGTATAGTAATTATCGTTAAATTATGCCACGTGCCGGTTGCCGGTTACGTTTTATCGGAACGTTATTGTGACAATAATGGATTCGACATATTTTATGCATCATGCCACTAAAATTATATATCGCTATACTA